GATTTCTGCGTTTTGCAGCTCCCGTGCTCACACATGCACACGCAGCCGCTTGGGTGTGCATCTCCGTGCGCTCGTGCACGTGCATGTGACTGCCCCAAAATAGATACCCTCTCCTGTGCACAGCGTTGCATATCAGTCTGCCTGGCACACTTTGAGTTAACGCTTGAAATTTGAGGCACGTACGGTTCAGAAAGCTGCAAGGAAAAAAAAAAAGAAAACAGGCGGCAGTCTGGCAGCTGCTAAGTCTGTTCTCCATACATTTTGTGTGTGAGAGTGTATATGAATGTGTAAATGTGTATATGTATGTCTCTGCTTCCTTCAAAGTGTGTGTGTGTGTGTTGCCTCCAGTGCTGCTGTGTGAAACAGAAACACTGGAGACAACAGAAAATAACATAATCCAACTATTAGGTTCCCTAAGACATAGATGTGTACTGTACACACCTCACAAGGACATGACTCATGGGAAATTATATGAATTTTCACTCGCCTTTCTTAATATTTACTGCTGATACACAAGCAATCATACGCTGTGTTCCCTCCACAGCTACAAACGCGGCGTAGAGTGAAAGATGTGTAATCCAATTTCCTTTGTGTATTATTGTTATTATTGGTAGATATCAAAATGCATCACAAACATATTATAAATCATCACGCTGTTTCATACTCAAGAACAGCTCCATTTCCATATGAACTTCGATGCAAGGCGGGACCCGGAGACAACGAGCGCCGTGCGCGCTGGAAACAGGGACGCATCAGCAGTATTAGCACAGAGAATTATTTACAGTTTTTCTCACACTTCAGCGCCTTATTTCAATTAGCCTGCGCTCAGTGTCGAGCGGCTCTAAAGCCGATGGGTTGTTCGTTGGTCCCCTTCCCAAAAGCCTATCACGGGTCGCTATTGATGGCAGAAACAGGCCTGGATCTGTTTTGTGGTTTCATGGGCTCGTTAACTTTTTCCCCTTTCATGGGCGTGTGATTACCACAAGCCTTTCACTGTAGCACAAAAAGGTTGTTTTTTTCCCTCTCTCAAAAATGGTACAGTAGGTACAAGCGGTACAGTAAATCTCTTAAGCAGCTTCACTTCCCATCATGTGATTATTCCATGACAAAGCAGGGGATAGAGGAGGTGATAAGTGACATCCAATAATTATTTTAGCTTTTAATGTGGCAAATTAGCTGAAACGAATGCTAAACCACTTTCCCTTCCCTCACAAGATAAACAGCACCTGATAATGTGTATGAAACATTACCCTGATGAACAACCATGCGGTGCCTACTGAAAGTGAAGCCATTAAACATAATATAAAAGACACACACGCTGTCGGTTTTCATTTGTCACCTCGCCGTGAATACCGAGTCCTGGTAAAGTCTCATCTGGCCTCTGTGTGTGTGTGTGTGTGTGTGTGTGTGTGTGTGTGTGTGTGTTGCGTCCATGCATATGCTTTGCACTGGCTCAAAACTTGACATGCTCCTCTCCTCGATTTCCCATCTTATTGTCTGTCATCAATCCGAGGCCTGTAACCCCTGTGGTAATAACCGAACCACCGAGATACATTCAAGTGCAACAATGTGTGGGTGTTGAATCTCACAAAGAGGTTATGAATAAGTCTGCCCTGACTAGTGGCAGTGCTTTGGAGAATATCACTCTGTGCGCTCCCACTGTATGACAGCTAATTGAAGCTTCCCCTTGGGCTGAGTGCAGCACAGACATAATAATCAAGGATCCTGTCCTGGATTCGATATATAGCCCGAACGTGGGATTTGCTTCTTTTGTCATAATCAAAGGAACGTCGCACAGGGAAAGTTCAGGAGTGTCAAGGCATGTGTTGCCACAATGGAAAACAGAACTATTTGCTTAATGTTATGAATCTGAAAAGGTCTGGAAAGGCCTGCTGCAGCACCGCCAACAGATCGATAGCCATCCCTCACTCGGCTCTGCTTGCTCTGCTTATAAAAACCATCCACTTAGACATCTCTGTGAAGAAGTGACTACCTGAGAAGAGTGTCCATTTTAATGCCTTTGGGTTAATTCCTCCTAGCGTTCATTGGATTAAATTAAACCAGTCTATGGCATAACGGTAATGAGATTATTGTGTTTCTGGTAGGATTACGGGATGACAAGCTACGTACACGGGAGCAGCAGTGGTCAGAGGGGCTGCATTGTTTATGCACGGATCTCTGTGGGAAGTGTAGCCTACATCCACATTAGCCTCGTTTTCACACTGGAAAGCGGATTAGTTTGCATCATAAACATGACATGAAACCTCCAAACTGGATTAATTGAGCCATTTTAAATAATGCGTTTTCTTCCCAGTACTGCTCATTAACGAAGCTCTGATGGCGTCCAATCAGAGCAGCAAGAGTTTTATTGGGGGTTTTTTCGTAGCTAACTGATTCTTTGGTTTTTTTCAATCCACCCCGCAGCCCTTTCCGTAAGCCACAGGGTCGTCCCTCTCAAACGGAAACCCCTCAGTTCAAGCTCTATATCAACAAGAGTCCAACATTAATTATATTCCCAGCTTTGCTGTTGACAGCAGGCACCATCAGAGAATAAAAAGATTGCGGTCGTTTTAACTAGCGCGTAAACCCCAACATCACAGCAATTTTTTTTTGTTTTTGCATGTAGTCCTGTTGAATGAGAGTATAGACAAGATACAGTTGTTAGTTGACATGCAAAAGGAATGTGCTTGGATTACAGCAGATGCCTCTTTGATTTATTGGCTGTAGTGGTGAGCCCTTTATCTCGAATCACGCTGCCGAACAGCAATTCATTTTCATTTCATTTCTGTCTGGATCCTAAACCTCCCACCCACAGAGACTGGGATTTTTAGCCTTATCATCTTTCATACTTTGGAAATGAGAAACCCATAAAGGGGCCCCACAGTTTCTTGGGAGCCTTGTGGAAGTTTGCCAAGCAACTCTGACGCAGACATTTATGAAGAAACAACGATAATCATTTTAACACTGCGTTGACACACATTCGTTTCCTTTAGACCGAGCCGCAGCATTGATTGCCACAGCTTGTAAAGTCAACCAGGAATCTGCAAAGCTTGCTTTCACGTCTCTGATTCTTCTCAGTGAGTCTTAAAAAAGAGAAAGAAAGAAAAAAAAGGGCTATAGCAATAAAAGGATATTGGTGCAGAATAGAGACAAACATTTCTCCCAGCCAGCTAAATGCTGGTGCTGAAAGGACACTAAGCACAGGTTGTCTCTCAACTGCTGTGACAGGCTGTGCAGCCAAGAATTTCACTGTGTTGAGTAAAAGGATACAGGTAGGGGAGAAGGGACAAGAGAAGGGGGGATGCTGAGGTGAAGCCAGCCGACCAGCCAGCCAAATCTGCCTTCAGCTCAGTGTCAAAACAGCCAGTCAGCTGTGTACACCTTCATGTCACCTGCTTGTGCGTGTGTGTGTGTTTGTGTGTATGCCGTCCTATAGCCTCCCTCAACAGGAGGGAGCACAGAGAGTCATCTCCTCTGGTCAATAGAGCCTAATTCTCCACAGGTGGCAGCCAGCCTCAAAGACGATTCCCTTCAGCTCCACTGTGCTGAAGCTTCTGATCCACACGATGGGGCCTTTGGTGATGGAAGAATTGGTGTGTGTGTGTGTGTGTGTGTGTGTGTGTGTGTGTGAGGGTTGAGTCAGATAAGAGGCGATAGATATGGAGCCAGGGGTTCACCAGAACGCCGAAAATGTCTTCTTATTGACCCCACTCTTATTGAATTTTCCCATCGTCGCCCTCTGTTTCTCCGCTTCTCTTGCCTCACCCCTTCCACCTCAGATTATCTCCTCGTTCTCACTTTCTGCCTCGTCTCTACCTTCACCTGTTATTTCACAAGGTGTTGCAGCACCGACAGCAACTGTGCTCAACCCCGGCAGTGTAACAGCACCTCTTCGCATTTTCTGCATGCTTTATAGGCAGCCTAATGGAGGAAATCAAAGTACTCAAATGCGATTAGATCGCATAACGTTCAGAGCTCCTTTTGATTGATTCGGCTTTTTTCTGTTAAATTCAACCAACAAATATGTTTTTTTCTGAGGTGGTTGTTCTGCTTTCTTTTTGCACTTGCAGATTTATATCAAATAGTCAGTGTTTATCAACATTTCATCTATAAAGCTCCCTTATGTTCAACTTTTATGAAATGTAATTACAGCGTTACTCTCACTCCTCCGGTGTATCACATGAAAAATGTCTTCATAGTTTTTCCTTAGTGGCTCATGTTAAATGTAAGGACTGCACTATTTTTCTCCTTTCCTGGGACTGAAACATATTGTTTTTGCCCGGGGCATTGGAAGAGTTACTGCACACCTGTTTTATCAGAGTATGAGTTGTAGGGAGAAACAACTGTAAAATGAATGTTCTGGCACCATGGCTGCACATACAGGTTCCATGTTGCTCTAGTGAAATTTAATCAGCCATGCCACAAAATCTTCCAGGCAAGAATGATTGCCAGGCAGGAGGATGTTACTGTAATTATTGTCTTGTTCGCTTCAGACTGAGTGCCTTGGATAAGCCATAGTCAACGGGAAAGCAAATACGCTTGTTGCACAAAGCACTTAGTGGCAATTTACACAACAGGGTACTTGGATGTATAAGCATTACAGCGTCGAACGTGTTGAGGAAAAAAATGGGAATGTTGCTTACAGGGGGCGCCGTTAAGGTTTAGTTGTACATGAAGACTTCTGCCCACCAGAAGGTCAAGCTTTGAAAAGCTGCCAGGTTGAATATTCTTAGCAAATCCTCGGTATTATGTGTTTTGCACAACAGGGGTGCCACACTAATGAGCTGACCTCACACAGCAACCGCAGGTCAACTTACCATTTGGTTATTATTTTTATTTACAGCACTGCATCGTGTTTTCGGAGGCTGAGAAACACTAAATGTATCCCAGTGAGATCCAGACTCGTCGTGTTCTCCCCCAACCCCATCCAACCCAGCGCAGATCACACAGCGGCGCTCCACCCAAATATTGACTTCTGTTTTTTCTCTCCCGTTGCACAGCACCGCCGTTTTCAGAAGTCACCACGACTCCGCCTACAAAAACGACAACCACCACAACAACAACCACGGTGCACTGGGGTGTGGACAACAATACCACCACAACAGGGTACAAGGAGCGCAGCAGGGGAACGCCCAGGCCACGTCCTGTAATCCCACAGACTCCTTCCCCTCCGCCCCTGGAGTCTTTCCCTTTACCTGAACGCTTCTGCAAGGCAATTGAGAAAAGAGACATAATGTGGCCTCAGACCCAGAGGGGCATGCTTGTTGAGCGACCTTGTCCCAAGGGAACACGAGGTAAACAGGGCCGTCTTTCCTTCTCTCTCTCTCATCTCAGGGCCGACTGCTCGCTGCGTTCAATATGACCCGACAGCTCTCGAGAGAACATCCCCGTGTTTGTTAGATATTCCTTTTTTCTCTAATTATAAAAGATTTAACTTAAAGGAATCAGCAGTGGCTGTTAGCGTAAGCAGTCTCTGACTGACTGAGGCTCAGCTGTTTGTTTGTTCCTCATTTGATTGTATATGAACTCATGTCACTTTGTAGCAATAACAGGCTAACAAAATTAGTTTTCTGTACACTGTCTCGATAGACAAAGTGGGGAAAACTAAGAAGAAACATCTGCTCAGGCTTATGTTGTCATGTGCACAAAAATGTTTTGGATTCATATATGTTCTACATATAAATACTCAATTTGCATGATTGTGTTGCTTGTGTGCAATTTCTTCCTTTGATCTCTGTTTCTGCCTTTGTTGTTCAGCGAGCAGCCTCATAAAAAATATGTATTTGATTTGAGTTGATTCAACTTGACTGTTCTCTTCTTGTTTGTTTTCTTGGTTTTTTTCTGTCAGGCACAGCATCTTATTTATGTGTCCTTTCCACCGGGGACTGGCACCCAAAGGGCCCTGATCTCAGCAACTGCACCTCCCACTGGGTCAACCAAGTAGCCCAGAAGGTTTGTATGAGCTCTGCCTCGCTGTTTTCCATCTAAGTGTTTTTCTTAAAATAAGGAGTAGACAAAAATAATGTGTTCCTGTAAAGGACGTCAATTGCAAAAGTAAACTATTCACTGGAAAAAAAATATAAACATGGAAGCAAATCTGGGTCAGAATCACTCGAAAGCAGGATGACAAAAAGGGCTGATGTGTCCTATATTTTTGGTTTTATAGAAGACGACTACAAAAAAAGAAAAAAGTGAAATATCGGAGTTAAAACGATCCAAATTTTGTGTTAACAAAATAAAATGACACAAACTGCATTATACAGAGGGACAGTAGGAAAGGCACCATGAAGCTGCAGTGTGTATAATTGTGTATTTACATTTTAGTGATTTTGATTTTACATTTTGGTTAGTGGTGTAGTGGTTAACACCTTCACCCAGTTTGAAACTGGGAGGTCAGAAGCTGGCCCATAAATAGGACGGTTGTATTAGGAGGAGCATCCGACATGTAATCTGTTCCAAATCCACCACGTGGACTCGTTTGCTTTGGCACCCGACTCGGAAATAAGGGACAAAAGTACCTGACATTGTGCCCTTTGATTAAAAGCCTTTTACCTTCTGTATAATCTGCACCATAGTCTTATTTTGCAAACCACTCTTTGTAGACTTGTTTTTTTCTTTTGCCTTAGCACACAATAAAAAAAGAAAAAACTGCCACTATAGCAGCTTCTGCTGTGTGAAGAAAACATTAAACCCTCTTTTCATAAGCAATATTTCAAGGACTCATTCAAGTGTGATTTTTATGTTAGAAACAGAGCCGCAAAGAGCCCTCCAAGTCTGTCTTTTCGTATTCTCATTCGCATTACTCACTCTCTCCCCATGCAGATCCGCAGCGGTGAAAACGCGGCTAACTTGGCCAATGAATTAGCCAAGCACACCAAAGGACCCATCTTTGCCGGGGACGTCAGCTCCTCAGTGCGCCTGATGGAGCAGCTGGTGGACATCCTGGATGCGCAGCTGCAGGAGCTCAGACCCAGCGAGAAGGATTCTGCAGGACGGAGCTTCAACAAGGTAACCAGATCCTCCACATATTAGCAGGGTATTAAAAAATATTACCTCAAGTTTCTCCCCAGTTCCCTCTTACTGAATGACTCTGCATAACTTACATCGCTTTTATGCTTTACTGATAACTTAATACTTCTTTAATACAATAGCTGCGTTTTATTAGATTTTTTTTCACCAGATTACGTCAGCAGTCTGCTTTTCTGTGCTTTTCACTTCAAGTTCAGCCGAGCTGGGAAACAAACAGAAAAGCAGTTCTGATTTTTGAGCAGATGTGTATTCAGTGTCATGAGTGTGATCCACCGGTGCCATTTGAGACTGGTCGTTTTATCAGTTGGTTTTTCCATCCAGCGCTCACCCCTTTATTATTTCTACCAATTCTTTACTCGAGCTCGTGAACTTGTGCAAATTACATGTCTCTATTTTGTATCTGTTCTTTTCCTTCTCAAACAAAAAAAGCTCCAAAAGCGAGAAAGGACATGCAGGGCATACATGAAGGTACTGAAGCAAAGCTTCTGCCCACTCTGCTTGCAGCTGCTGTCCCCTCTATTCCTGTACTACCGTACTGTATATGCCCTAGCCCAAGTTCAGCAGCATGCACCCTCTCCACTGTCGTGTACACCCTCCTCCCTGTGCTTCCTGCTTTTTTGAGTAATTGCTTCACACAAAAACACAGTTGTATTCAAAGTGCTTCCTAAGTCAAAGAGAAGTCATCTCCAGTTACTTAGGTGGCTTCTTTTTGTAACTGTGTACGTGTCTTCTTTTTTTTCTCTCCTGTATGCATTGACAGCTATGGTGTATTTTGTTGTTTCTTCCGTTTGTCCCTGTTATTATTTTCTGTGTTTACTCAAGACTGCACGCCTACATGAATAACAGCACAACTCAAGCAGACATCCTCTTCTTACATCCCCCTCATTATTCATTTGATGAAGGATTTGCTGCTTTGTAGTGATGTATCAAAACTCTTTCTACGGATCGTTTCCTGACCATTCACAGCCTGCAAAGGGAAAATCCACAAGGGCGCAGGTTTGAGGTCATTAAATGAATGCGTTTCATAAATTAAAGGTACAAATCTATAGCTCGAGCTGGTTAATAGGGTTAGTGCAGGTCAAACGCTTTTTTTTTTCTTTCCCTTTCTTCCCCAAATGCTTTCACAGCGTTGGGTTCGCACATCAAAGTATTTTGGCTGTATATATATCCCCCCACCATCAGGGACATCAGTGTCCTCCACCTGCCACCAAAGTCACCCCCCTCAATCCATCTCTCCTTCGGGAGGGTGTTAAAATGGATCAAGCTAATTAGCCAGTCAACGGCCGTGCGCTCGTAAAGGAGGCAGGGAAACTGGAAAAAAGCAAAAAGCACATACGTAGTCATATCGCCGCCGCCGCCGCGTCGCATCATCGTTTCGCTTTTTAAAGTCAAAACATTTCGATTTGACTTCCGAGAGGTTATGTCGATGTAAATTACAGCAGCATGAGAGAGGATCAGGGACAGGGATTGTTGAGTCATCAGTATCTGACATCTAACGCAACTTCACATTAGCCCCCCCCCACACACACCCCACCCTCTCCTCCAGCCGTCGCCAGCATTGATTACCTGATTAGACGCATTGATTTTATTATTTCCTGAAGAAAACCCTGCATCATTTATGCCCAATTTATCCTCCGTGTTTCCTGAGCTTTTAGATGGCAAAAAAGATGTAAGGGGAAAAAAAACAAGGTTTGCATTCACGGGACAAACAACAGTTTAGCAAACTGCACACTTTTGGTTGACTTTTCGAGTGCCTTTGCAGGGCGGCTTAATTACTTGTTCTACAGTAAAGTGTTTGAAGAAAAGGAAAGTTGCTGCCCACTGAACTTTCCAATTAGAGAGCTTTAATTGAGATCAGCCACGGAGACTTTGGCTTTCACCAGGCCGTCTCTTAATATCCTGTTATCAGACAGACGTGATAGGCTCAGTGCACTGTGACCCAGAGCATCGACGCAACATCCTTGGAAAAGAGGCCGAGCATCGCTGAAGCGCCTCGTCTCCTCCGCTCTTTTAGCAGTTCTTCCTTCATTAACATCACATTAAAAACATTTTTAATTGTTTTTATTTTGAAATGTGTTGCAAATATATGTTTACATTACATATACACCTGAGAAACAGACGTCCTTTCAGCTTCCTCACTTTTGTCCATTTCACTCCTAACGACGTGACACTCCAGCACAGCGTTTCACTAACTCACATCAGCGTCTGCATGTCACAGCTCATCCACAGAAAATGTCACTTGTTTCCAGACACTCAAGAACCTTTGTTTTCTGTGGATTTGTTTCGGTTATCTGCTTTAATACAGGCCATCGTGGACACGGTGGATAACCTTCTGCGACCAGAGGCGCTCAAATCCTGGCAGGACATGAACAGCACCGAGCAAACTCACGCAGCCACCATGTTACTGGATACTTTGGAGGAAGGGGCCTTCGTCCTCGCCGACAACCTCATGGAACCGGCTATTGTCAAAGTCCCAGCAGATAATATAAGTGAGTAAAGCCGAGTTTGCGGTAAGCAAATGACAAGCGTCCGTGATTGATGTGCGCCTCGGCTAATTTGATTACGCTCAGTTCATTGAAAGAGTAACTCCTGTGATAGCAACACAAGGCCGCCTCATAAAAAAGGACTTTGTTTTCATAATAAGGGTTTAAACCTCGGGGGAAGTGAAAAACAAGGCGTATTAGGTTTAACAAGTCGCTTACTGACAAAGTGATGAATATCAGACAATTAAATAGACTGGATTCTCTGATTGCGCACGCTTACTTTATAAATGTGTGCGTCTAGACCTTGTAACTCTATACACTAATGTGAACATTAGCCTGCTGTGCAGGCAGAAAAAAGGACATTGTTTATCCAAAGCTCCTCTTCCTTCGCTCATTTTCTTCAGCTGATAGACCGAACGAGAGAGTCCTTTGGTTTCTCTCAGCACCGTTTTATTCATATTAGTGGGAGCACCACTGGGATGAAACGATCACTGTGTGAGTGACGCTTTTATTGCGTGGCGCACTGTCACTAACATTTAGAAATGTTTAAACAGCTCGTGTAGAAATGTCAGGAAGAAATCGTCTTCCCTTCTGCTTTTTTTCTTTTTTGTCTCTTCTGAATTGACCGATTTTCGTTTTTTTTGTTGTCGTTCTCTAACTCATCCCCTGCCTCTCTGCTCTTGGCAGTCCTGGAAGTGTATGTTCTCAGCACGGATGGCCAGGTCCAGGATTTCAAATTTCCACAGATCGGCAAAAGCGGCATCTCAATCCAGCTCTCAGCCAATACTGTTAAGCTCAACAGTCGGAATGGTGAGTTAAAAAAGCAACGATAGCGAGAGGAGCTCGGTCAAAGTTAACTCTGGTAACTCAGAGACAAACAAAAGTGATTCTTTAGCGTAGGAGAAACTGTGAAATGGATTCATTTTCAAGAGACTGAGTGCAGTTTATCTCAAAAACTCCAAAGCGCTGCGATTTTAAACCTACAAATAAGGCCATTTGTAGCAAATATATCTCACTTCTCTCATCCATGCAGATAATTGCTTGAATAATTTAAATTCAGCTACATTGAAAAAGATGCAGTCAGTTTTAGAGCTTTCTCGTCCTCTGGTCTTCTGCATATTTTGTCTTCACTTCTTTTAGGCCCCTGTTGTTTTAATTGCGTCGCTCTTTCCCTAATCTGGTGTTTCTTTAAATCTTTCGCTCCGCAGGAGTTGCCAAACTGGTTTTCATGCTCTACAAAAACCTGAGCCAGTTCCTCAGCACAGAAAACGCCACCATCAAGATGGACAATGACGCCTACGCCCGCAACGTCTCGGTAGCCGTCAACTCGGACATCATCGCCGCCTCAATCAACAAAGAGTCTAGCCGCGTGTTCATAAATGACCCCGTGATTTTTACCCTGGAGCACATTGATGTAAGTCCGCCTGCAGGAACAAATGGACGGGCCATATTAAAAACACCAGGAGGGAAGATCTAGAGTAGACGGAGATGTGCAATTTGAATTGTAAATGTCTGGCTAGGTCAGTTGGCAGTTTATTTAAGTCATTGAACATCAAATTAAAGGAGTCTTTAGAACCTAAGTGAATTCTTAATGAAAACTAATTCTTTAATCAACATTGGGATATAAATGATACCCATTTTCTTTTATAGTGAGGGAAATTAACTCCTAGATTAGCCCTACAATCTAGGATGAAATTACTGGAGCACCAATTATCTTTCGTCTTTTAAAGTTGTCACTAGAGTTCCCAGAGGGCCGCGCGTGACTCCATTCTTTATCAGAGAAATTGTGCAATTCCAAAGACATGCCGTCAAACAATTATGCTTCTCTGTTATTAAGGCCTCGTATACGCGACCATGCTTCGGTTGATTTGGCAAGCATGTGCCAAATGAGATACAACATATGAATTGCTTCATAAGAGCTGTGAAGTGAAAAATCCTCATCCATATCAGTGCAGAAAAATACTTTCTGTGAGTGGGGGGTAAATGGCCTCTGTGTTCTACATGTGCTTCAATTTCAGGAAGTCAATTATTTGGACACTTAACCATATCTCTTGTTATCTGCAGATGGAGCACTACTTCAACTCCAATTGCTCCTTCTGGAATTACTCTGAGAGAAGCATGATGGGCTACTGGTCCACCCAAGGCTGCAAACTCCTGGACTCCAATAAAACACACACCACCTGCTCATGCAGCCATCTCACCAACTTTGCCATCCTCATGGCACACCGTGAAACCTCGGTATGTCCAGTCTTCTTTCGTGCCCACCCGTAGCATTGGAGGATTTTTGATTAAATCAAGATCAGACCCTTAACATTTTAGTTCCTAGGCTTGAATATTAAAGCAGCTAAAGATTGCAGCTATCACGGTGCGGTTTAATGAGTCGATCTGTGCGTACTGGGTTGTTTTTGCCAGACTTTTTTCATCTTTCAGCTTGATTTGAGTGCATCTTCTCCAACACGTAATGCTAATTTTACACCCAGAAGCAAACGATAATGAAATAACCACAATTATTGAAAGAGAAAGATTTTTTTAATCAATATCATCACCATGGGCGCCCGCAGATATGTCATGGGATAGGGATGTAGTCCCAAAATATGAAATTGGTTACTCTGTGTCCTTTTGTTGCTCCTGATTTATCTCATTATGCTGGAATGTAAATGTAAGCAGTCATTTCTTCGTTTTAGTCCTCAATTATCAAATCTAAAAGGGGAGGCTACCATTATTTCCCTCAGAGCTTCACACGACCCTCTTTGTCATTTCGCCCTTTCGCTTCAGGCCAGCAGTGAAGTGCACGAGCTGCTCCTGACCGTCATCACTCGCGTCGGCATCGTGGTGTCCCTCGTCTGCCTCATGATCAGCATCTTCACCTTCTGTTTCTTCCGGGGCCTGCAGAGCGATCGCAACACCATCCACAAGAACTTGTGCATTAATCTCTTCATTGCAGAGTTAATATTCCTAATTGGTATCGATATGACGGAACCCAGGGTAAGCCGGAATGATTTCACCCTATTGATTTGGTTTTGATTCATCCTCTCTCTCCTTATCGCCTCTCAGCCCTCACACAAAAGACCCTTCCAGAGTAAAATGGATAAGACTTTAAGCATTGTTTGTTTCTAGCCTTCCCCACTTGTCCCTGACATGACACGAGTGGAACAGCACCATTAATATAGCTTACTAAAGGGACATGTCTTCCGCTTGATGGGTCTTTTTCCCTCTTTCCTTTGAAGCTGCAGCGACGATTGCTGAGCAACGGCAGCTTTTTTCTGTCTTTTTTCACAGCTCCAAATAATTAAATCTCCTAACTCTAACCCCACAATACTAATGGCATTTAAATTTGTACTGTGCTGATGGAAAGCTAAACCTGTGCTTAGTCAGAGCCCATGTGGTGAATGAATATTCATTGTTTTTCTCTGCTGTTGAACGAGACGCCCTGAAACGACGATCTTTTCAGGGAGCTTCAATAAAAGATGGGGTACACGATGTACAATTTTCACTAAAAAAACAGCAACAACAACAAAAGTCAGATGGAAACGACACGTGTCATCTTGATGTCGAAAGATTATTTAATAAATTTCACTGTGTCTCCTTTGCATCTTGTTCTTTGATTGTCTGAATCTGTTGTTCTTCTGTCGTTCTCAGATTGGCTGTGCCATCATTGCGGGGATCCTGCACTTCTTCTTCCTAGCTTCCTTCTCCTGGATGTGTCTTGAGGGAGTCCAGCTGTACCTCATGCTTGTAGAAGTCTTTGAGAGCGAATACTCGCGGAAAAAGTATTACTACGTGTCTGGTTACCTCTTCCCTGCCATCGTTGTCGGCGTCTCAGCAGCTATTGACTACAGGAGCTACGGGACCAAGAAAGCGTGAGTGCAGCTTCTTTTTTTCTCTCTCTCTGAAAACATTCTTGGAAATGCAGAGCAGACATGCTGGATGCTGCACTGTGTGGGCTTACCTGCTGTGGCTGCGTGTGGCAGATTTTGAAAAGAAATCCGCTCGTCATTTCTTCCAGCACCTTATGTGCATCCCTGGAGACTACACCAAAACATTTGAGCGCCTTTTGCCAGGGATGGGCAGCTGTTCAATTTTTTATGTCATTTGAAAGTGGCTGACAGACTCAACACTGTGGTTTCAGGGGAGGCTGCAGCTACATTAATGCCTTTCTGTTCAAAGACCCTCCTGTGACCTCTTGTTTGTAAATGCTGTCTTAAAGAGGAGAGCGCAGTGCAGGGGAAAAAAGCCTTTTACATAGATTAATGGCTATATCACAGCTAAGACGACGCTATTAAGAGGGGCTGCTCGGTTTGCTTCTTCTCCTGTTGTGTCCGGCCGTCTTCCTGCTCGTTTTGTGAAAGAGCTTTGAGTTAAACACTGATAATAAAAGACATCAGCCCAAGTAACCAAAAATGATTTCTTTCCATTTTTAGCCACAGGAGCACGATGTCGTTTTTGTGGTGTTCACTGCCTGGAGCTGATTTGTGTGTTTCTCTGACATAGGTGCTGGCTAAGTGTGGATAATCATTTCATATGGAGTTTTATAGGACCTGTCACCTGTATCATCATGGTAAGCTGTTTTCTTTTCTTTGAATACTCATACTGACAGAGTGAGGAAGGGACCAAGAGGGTGAGATGAAAGAGATGCAGGAGGAAGATAAAGGGAGCAAGATGGTTGAACTGAAGGGAAAAGTCAGCAGGATTTTTGCTCCAAGCCTTCCCGGTGATGACAGGTTAATTTTGCGCCACAGACAGATTACGAGGCGTCCGACGTTCCCCTCTGCCTCTCACTGCCTGACAAGCATCAGCCTTGATAGTGTACTTTAACCTCACTTTTACACAATTTCAGGAAGTCTCATATCACAGATATTACCTGATGACCTTCAAAGGTATGTGATGAGGGAAAAAATTATGTTAACAATTGGCTGAAATGGTCCATTTTACAGCACACGTTGCAAGCCGGGGTAATGTTCATAGCTCTTTTTTGTATTTGTCTGCCTGTAAATAGCGCACGACTTTGTCAGGAAGACGGAGAGCAAAGGCATCCCTTCTGTTTGGTCAGGGTCCGCCAAGGGTGAAGGACATATAGCATATAATATTGACATATGTCCCATTGAGGCATGCAATTATTTACTGGTCATGACATTATTATCTCTCGCTCCATCAGAGAGGCTCAGAAGAATAAGACCTTCGGGAGTCTTACTTCCCTGCGCAGGACCAAAAAAAAAGAAATAGCAGGTGGTGAGCCTCACATATATCCTCTCAGCTTCCCACATCATGTATTGCTTTGCCCTCGTGCACACCGAGGGATAAGGAAGCTCTGCAGGCTCGTCTTGCTGCTGTGTAGGGAGGATGGGTGGTATTTGTTCAGTACTGTGTTCATTATCCAAGCTAATGGTTGGTACTGTGTCTACAGATGCAGTGACCTCTGCTGAACATCAAGCTGACACTGAAAATATACTAGAGAAAAGGGTCAGCCGTGTCAAATTCCATCAAGTCCCTGCACACTATTGGCAGACTGCTCCGAGTTTTCAAAGTAAAGATGCAGTGGCCGTACTCTTTGTCTGTGTGGCAGCAGAATAAGTAAAAGGCAAATCTGCACACTGGATTGCATTTCACAGCTTTCTCACAAACAGACGTTGGCTTAGGAATGGAAGAAATGGTGCTCACTCGAAAAGGGTCTGCGCTGGATTGAAATGTCTCGGAGTAAATGCTGAAATGACTTTTTCTTGTTTTCAGTGATTTTCCTGTCTTTTTTCTTTCCTCCTCTCTGCCTCCCTGCTTTGAATGTGTGAGCTTATAATTGAGGAAAAGCTAACATTGTATTAAAGCAAACATACATTTCTCCCTGTCTCAGCAAATGCTCTGTCAGCCACACTGGAATATGTTTCCTTTCCCTAAATTGGACCCTCATTGTTTTCCAATCGAGTGTTGCTCTCATAATGATTTGCATGAAAAATATTTCTGCAGTGGAAATGATGATCGGGATCCCGGTGGTGATGACCGCAGAGATAGAATCATGACCCTGTGAGGAGCTAATGTATTGTAGCAGAGCTAATATGTGACAGGAATGAGGTTTTGCTGCACTGGGCCGGGCCTCGCACACCGCTCCTCTGATTCTGTGCAACAATTGACTCAAAAAGACAAAGTACTGTGGAAAGGGGCATCTCGGGGGAGCGTGCAGGAGCAAGGTTTGTCTGCACCATCCGTGACCCTGGTTTCTCTACAAATTGGCTTTGTCCTTGTCAATGAAAGACAGAGTTAGAAGGCGAAAAGGCACATGAACAGGAGAAAAGGAGAGAAAACAGTGCTGCTTTGGCTTATGTCTGGATCCCCACTTGTCACCCAGACCATGTTTGTGCCAAGTAACACCAGTTTTGACCTAGGGTGGTCATGTTTTGTTTTGTTTTTTCTCAGCCTTGTGCTTTCCCCCCTCATTTTTCCTGTTGTTTTTGCTGCCGGATGAAACGCTTCCTAAATACTGACTGAAAACAAAAGCTGAGAGCAGGCATTTAGATCCTTGTTCTTAGGCAGAGGTTGCCCTGCTTCTGGGCACAGGGGGTATTAGCTCCATGAAAGGAGGAACATGGAAGTAATGAGTGGTGGGGGGAGCCATTAGCATGCTTGAGATAACTTCAACACAAGGCCTTTTGGATCATGACACGTCGCGAGCAGTTCTTATCATCTGGACAGCTCCATCTGCACCTTTAATATTTTATCCCCAGCAGTTCATTTGGAGTTCAGTGTGTACACACACAGTCCGCTTCAGAAAAAGCTTTCTCCTCAGTCCCAGTGTGGCAAGGTGCTTCTGCATGGCTTGCAGTGATGATTCAGAGACAGAGTGAAGGATAGAGGCAAGACAGCTCCGCTCTAGCAAGAGGGATCCCCCGGGAGGGGCTGCGAAAGCATGTCGGTGGGGGTGGGAACATGTGCCATGCTGCTAGGTTACTTTAAAGTACCGTGTCCCTCTCCTCTGTCTCATTGGATCCATGTCACCACTCCAGGCTGTGTGAAAGGGTTTTTCAAAAGTCCTCGTCCTCGTGTCCCCCCACACCCACACGCCTCCCCTCCCCCACACCCACACCCACTGTCTGACTCATGCAGACAGGAATAATGGCTGATCACGGTGAAACAAAACATAGTTTCAGTGCCGTCTGTGATATGAAAGAAGGTTTGCATTTTTTTCCTCTTCCTCTCTCGCCCCTTTTTCTTTTTTTTACAGTCGGGCTTATTGTGAGAGGCTCCATGAGTTGATTGCATGTGGAGGGGTGATGTATTGACCACAGGTAGTCTTTTGATAGCAGCGTGTGTGCACCAGAACACTGAGAAAGACTGAATGGCTGTGGTCTGAGTCCAGCTCACAAAGGTCCCTTGCATTGGCAGTCCGTCTCCATTTTTCTTTTGCCAGTGCTGCAGTGCTCTAAAGACAGCGTGCTAACGCCAAAATGCACTGTTTGGTTTTCGTCCCTACAAATGTTTTACTTGCATGGAGCTTCTTTGTTACGCACATGGCACTGACGCTGCGTACACATAAATTTGTCTGCCGTGTTTCTGGTGTTTGATCCTCTTATTTGCTCTATTGGAGACTCACATCTCAATTTCCTTTTGTAAGATATTCCTTGACATCATTTATACATGCCTGGCTTTCAGCACAAATGCACTTGGGTTTGTCTGAGTGAGTACATGTACATGCTGCGTCAGGTGCTAGTTTGCTCCAGAATAAATGTTTTTGAGGTAAATTATTTGGAAGGGCTCCTTGCTGGAACATGCAGCCTTTGTGTCTCTAAATCACAGTATTGATTTTTTTTTTAAAGGTAGCAAATAAATGTGCTCAGAAACACAGCGCATAGTATCCCTGTCTCAACCTGATATGTGCCACTGGTTCTCTAAAGATTTAATACATTAAAACAAGCAAGCAACAGCCTCCACACGTCTCCCCTTCCTTCTCTCTCTCTCTTTTCATCTGGCCACAAACAGGAATCGAACAAAATACACCACGTTCCCTCAAGCCTTCTGTAGCTGGTTATACCTTATAATATTTCACTATGTGCATAAAATGATATGCAGTTGTTTTGTACACCAAGAGGCTCTCATTTCTTCTGCTACTTTTCATTCCCTTCTGACATTCCCAGAATGGTGCTGTGTGGCTGCCCCCCTCTTTTCTTTTTTTCCCTTACAGTGATGGATTTTAATGCATTTCCATGCTCTTATTGATATAGAATGACACTAAATTTGGCGCCAGTCGGCCCCGTCTGAGACTAGCTGGAACGATAGATGTTTATTGGATTAGTCTGTGGACATGCAGAGTTGAAGGCTCTCCTCTTTTAATACTTATGGGCAAATTAACAGTTTTTTTTTCTGTGTGTGCTATATCTTCAGTCATACATCTTCATGTATTAACACTGCCATTACTCTGTTTTGACAGCTCAATCTCATCTTCCTGGTGATCACAATGTACAAAATGGTGAAGCACTCCACCACCCTGAAACCAGACTCTAGCCGACTGGAGAATATAAAGTAAGTGAAGCGTCATCATATGCAGAACGCCCGCACACTCCTCCCACCTATGAGCAATCTAACACCGGTGCCACTTCCCCCGGAAAAACCACAAAGCCTCTTTTAGTGTTAAGTTGTTGTTTTTTCTCCACCTCTACATGAATTCTTTTTATTATTTATTTATTTTAGGCCCAATTTTAAAATGATTCATAGAGACTTTACTATTTTCACTGAAATTACTTTTTTTTTTGCATCACCATGTTGTGTATAATCTGTGATGATGACTACACATATTCTGTGACTCATATTTTTCATGCTTTGGTGTTTTACTGCAAACCTGCAGCCACAGAACTGCTCTGGCATGACACGCATCACTGTAAGGATGCTGCGTAACCGTTCAGCGTCGGCTCTGGCAGGGTGGGGCGCAGCCGAACAGCTACCATGTGTGCTTGAGACTGGAAAATGTCAAAGTTTTTTCATATTTATATAAATATATATAGAGAGAGAGATGCCAGCTTCTAATCCTAAAAAGAAAAAAAATCTGCCACCATCTCAACACCGCCACACTCCGCCTTTCCTCTTGTAGCCGCTGCTGAGTCACCGCAGCGTGTAGCTCAGCGTTTTCCAAAGCACTAATTACAACTGCTGTTGTTTTTGCACATTGTATGAAGAAAACTGATGTAAATATATATTTATTGCTGTTTACTCCAGGGCCTTGTTGGTTACAGTCCTGCAGTCTCATGCCATTTTGCATTATTTACATTATATTAGTTTGTGTTTCAACCTCCACCACGCTGTGCGGGAGCGGCGCTTGCTGCTTTCTTTTTTCCCCCCGTCCAGTGTTTGTTATTCTTCATCTTTGCTTAATGAATGCGTGCAACAACACAGCTCTGTGGTAAAACCGCAATCAGAGAGAACAGTCACAAAAACGCCTCACTTAGTATTCTAGGTCCATTTGAGATGGACTCCTCCCTGTTTAAGGAAACCACAGCAGAAAGCATTCACTGAACTTCAGATTGTTGCGCATTTTGATGTCGGATGTTAGAAATGATTTCTTTCAAGCTTGTTTGTACTGAAATGCACGTTTGCCTAATCGCTGTTTCCTCTGTGATCATTTGTTTCCTGTTGTCGCTGTTTTTCGTGCCAAAGTTTGATGCTGAAGTCAGACAACGGTCGCTGCATGTTGCATGTGAAGCCAAAGTTAACGCACACCCTCTCCTTTCTTTTTCTTCTGTCATTCCTCTCTCCTGTCTCTGTTCTGCAATCCACACCAGTAATTATCGCGTTTGTGACGGCTACTATAATACAGATTTGCCTGGGTAAGCTTCTACTACGCACCTCAGATAATTTTACCCACACAACACCACCCACGAGTAAAGGAGCATAAATGCATATTCAGCTACAGACAGCGAATGTTCTACATGTAATTGAATCATCAACAGCAAAATATACAAGTCTCAGTTCTTGTTAGATCCTTTATTTCACTGCCTCCCGTGATTTCCCCTGAATCAAAGTTGACGATATCTTACTCAAATGCCGACTAACCCAAGCTGTTATGCGCTCTAATCTAATTGTGTTTCTCTCTTCCTGCCTGTCATGCTCTCTAGCTATGAAGATAATAAACGGTTTATCAAGTAAGAACATGCTGCCCAGAAGTCGTCTCCTCAGCTTCTAGTTTATTCTCTCTATCCCACGTTATTTTTTCGTGCCTTTTTGTTCCTCTTTCTATCATTTCCTTTCACAAACTGCAGCTTCTAAGCTTCTCATCCACTGTCTTTGTGACCGGTCACTGCCACCACGTCCATCATTTTTGATCCAGTTTTGGTGTCGTTGCTGTTGTGTGTTTGATCATCGAACCGTGACCACTGTTGGTGTGCGAAGGCTCCGCAGGACCTTCGCACACGAAGCAGGGAGTTTTCCTTGAACTCTTTCCACGTCTGCGTAGCTTCTCCGGTTCTGGTAGCGCACTCAGTAGATGAATATGATAGTGTTTGTTGCTTTTGTTGAGTTATTTTTAAACATGTCGTGCTGTCTTGTGATAGCGGTTGGTGTGTTTTAATAAATAGAGAGGTATAAAGAGAAAAGCGGGTCAAGCTTTTGCTTGTTTCTTGTCTTGTCTGAGGGCAGAATCTGCACGTGTGAGGATGGAGGGGTGGGGACAGCGGGGAAGGGTTGTGAGGACGTGTGTGTGTGTGTGTGTGTTTTCTTTTTCATTTTATTTCATTTTCCTCCCACCTGGTTTTTAGCCTTTTCTACATATTTCATAGTGGAACCGGGTGATTAATATTCCAATCACCGTTCTGTCACAGAACCTCCCTCATGCTGGATTCGTCCTGTGTCTCGTTTGTCGTCCCTCAGATCCTGGGTCATGGGTGCTTTTGCTCTGCTGTGTCTGCTCGGTCTCACCTGGTCTTTTGGGCTCTTCTTCATCAGCGAGGCCTCGATTGTTATGGCGTACCTCTTCACCATATTCAACACCTTCCAAGGAATGTTTATCTTCATTTTCCACTGCCTTCTCCAGAAAAAAGTAAGTAGTCACTCTGCACTGCGTACGGTTTTTCTCTGTCAAGGTGAAAAGCAGAAGGCTTTTGAGCAGTCAAGGCCAAACCTTCAGCTGAATTCACAGATGCTGATATAAAGAACAAACACTGCCTCATTCTGCTTCTTGTAAAGTCATATGTAAAGTCAACATTGTATTTAAACACTTGGCTGTTTGCCTGCGTAGGTCCGCAAAGAGTACAGCAAGTGCTTCCGCCACACGTACTGCTGCGGAGGGCTGCCGACTGAGAGCTCGCACGGTTCTGCGAAGACTTCCACCACACGGACCAGCGCACGCTACTCCTCTGGCACACAGGTACACCGGCACTTTTGCACAGTGAGAGTCTCGCCACGTGCCAGGATAAGATGAGAGCGCGACGTATCCTGGACTCGTCGTGCAGCTCTGTTACGTTGTTAATAACCCCACTGTTTAAACGACTCCTCAGGAAAATGTACTTTTACTGTGAGCACAGAGAAAAAGCACATTCTGCATCTTAACCTCAGAGGTAGATGAGAAGACACAAACATTATCCCACTTTTTTACAAGCAGCATCTGCTGTACTGCATGAGTACCTTTCTTCTGTTCTGGCCCCTTTAGCTCTTGCTTTTATCCTTTTTCACTAACGCCATGTGCATGGGGAAGAAATACATATTGCACTGTTTAAAGAGCATTGCAGGCACTTTTTACTACAGGGAGAGCCAAAATTACAAAGAAGAAAACAACAACTTTGTCCTCGCCTTATCCGGTTCTTATTAAAGGCTAATAGACCTTAGCAGACAATACCTCCAGATGTAATGTGCTTATAGAGAAGCATCCCCGTCTCAGTATAACCTCCAGCCTATTGTAAAGAGTCATAACTGGAGCTGAAGTTGTTCAGAAGTTGACTTACATAAAATTAGTTTTTGAAAAACTCATCCAGAGGGATTGAGCAGTTACTACTGCCCTTGCCTCACTGCAGATTAGTAGGTTTGTTTTATAGTGTGTAGCACGTAGAGGGAAATCGAATGAAAGTTGATCTGAAAGGTGAACGGGCTTGTTTAAAGTCCTAATGGCTGTCCCTTGTTGACCTGACAGAGTCGTATCAGGAGAATGTGGAATGACACCGTAAGAAAGCAATCTGAGTCCTCCTTTATCTCAGGTGACATCAACAGCACCTCCACCCTTAACCAAGGTCAGTTCACACCTCATTTCTCTGCACATGCACACCTATGCACACATTTCATCATCCAGCTAAAAATACCTCCTTCAAGTTCCAATGATCTCACCAACACCGTCTAGGGTCCTACTCTGGTAATCGTAATAAATGATTCAGCTTGAAAAGACAGAGCAGTACGGTTTTAAAAAAAGATTTAGGTCTTTAGTGTGGTCTCCCTGTTCTGCCAGCAAAGGATTACAACAATCCATCCTCAAATACTCTGTGAGCTGTCATTCTGGCCAGTCATGTCAGTCTTAAATTGGGGCAAGGCTGGAAGAACTTTTTTCTAATTTAAGTGCTGGCTGTCCAAAGTTTATACCAAAGCTCAGGGGAAACATAGACAAAACTTAAAAGGCGGGGAAGGGGTGGGGTGCAAAGTTTTATTTTCGGAAAATCTTAACATTGCTTTAAAAAGGCGGTTTGTAGCCTGGCATGTAAGGTGACCTCTCTTACTTTACAGTGGGAGGGAGAAAAAAAAACTGTCATTTATTATTTAGCTTGAGCACAAATATGATGATGAGAAGATGATGTTCAACTCTGGCTGACCTGGAGTGCTTAGTGTGCTGTTAGGCTTTCTGCTGCTCTCTGAAATGGCTTTCCAAGCATGCGAAGGGAAAGAGGGTTTACACCGAGGTAGCTTAACTCCACTCCCTCCTCTCCCCTCCTCTTGACTCCTGTCTCTGCTTCTCTTTGCGGTCACTTTTTTTTAAAATTTTGCTGTCACTTGTCACAAACTACAACATTACACCTAGCGCTTTAAAACACATTTTGGCTTGCTGATACATCAGCATCAAAATAGAAGTCTTTTTGGGGGGGCGATCAGTATAATTTCCTGGAGATGTTAATGTAAAGGTTGGATATTGATCACTCTGGGGTGTAGCTGCCTCGTTACCCTGGAGAGACAGTGCACTGAAGGATGGCTCTATCTCCTAGAAGCACTTCCCTGTCATTAAAAACATCCCTGGAGACTTCTCAACCTGACAGATGGCATTTAACACAGGTGATAAATGGCAGCCGAAATACCTCAGATCCTTAAAACACACTGCAGGGGGAGGGGGGGGATGGAAAGAAGATGAGCTTTTGGAAGAAAGTGGCAAAAAATTAAGACTTAATAATAACTTTGACTTGGACGTGTTCGCCTTGGTCTCTTGGGAGCACTTATGTTTGGACCTGGTCCAACAGCAAAACCTCTGCACAATAACAGGGTGCTGTTTTTGGGAGGAAAATAATACTAATAACCGAGCTTGACTTAAAAAATGCGAGAAGTGTGAAAAATTGCAGTAATGAGCACAGCTGTTTCAAATGTTAGTTGGTAAATAAATGGGTTATAAATGCTTTTCAACACACGTAATGAACTAAATAACTGAAGAAGGACAGCAAAAAGTTGAACATTTTTGCTCCTCAAACTTTTCTCTGTACGATCACTACGTTTCAGATTTTGCGTAAAAAGAGAAGTGACGCCACACGCCTCTCTACACAAACTGCTGCTAATTTCCTTGATCTCTTTTTCTCAATGCTCCTCTTCTGTCCTGCTGCTCCAGGAATGACCGGGAACTATCTACTAACAAATCCTCTCCTGCGACCACAAGGCACTAACAACCCTTATAACACCTTACTGGCTGAGACAGTCGTATGTAACACTCCCACAGCTCCAGTGTTTAATTCACCAGGTGTGCTTACTTGATACTTTCACCTGCATTCTGCCTGTTCTTCTGTCTTTACCTGCTCTCTCCCTCTTTTGTATCTCACTTCAGTGTACGGCACGCTAAAAGAAAAGCAGGATGTTCGGCAGTATCGCCTTTCCTTCTGAATCACTGTCTCCCAAATGCTTGACACACTACATAGTGAGAGAATGTGTGTGTGTGTCTGTGTGAAAATGCACACATTTTCATGCACGCCAGAGATTTTTGTGGTTCGCCTCAATAGAGTCTCATATGTGTTCTCGTATTTCTAATATCCATACTCTGCATGGGACGTGATGATTAAGATGGGAAAGAGATACTACACGTTCTGCCTTAAAATAATGCAAACTGTGCAGCCGCAGTATAATCTGCATGATTATTATGATGAATTCTCCTGAATTGAACAGGTCGTTTGTTAGTTTTGGTTTGCTTCAGAGGGAATTTTCCCCTTCAAAACACATTAAACTGCAAGAAAAAATCATGCAGCGTTGCATTAGTAGCTGCATACACATGCAGACTTTCACAGATTGCTTTACTGTACAGTTGGTGGTGACTTTTGAGCATACACCACACTGTAAAGACTGTGCTGTGATTATTTTTATATATATCTATATATGTATTCTATTTTGAAACTGAAATGGCCTCCTTTGTCATGTTTTGTGCTTTTCCCTTGTGCTTCCTTCTAGTGACCTACAGAGAGACAAGTATGGGAGTAAAACTTAACTTTGCCTATCAAATGTAAATTTTTTTCAGCATGCTTATTAAAAAAAACCCAACAAAACCCCGGCACAATCACTGGTTCACTTTAGGCCATTAACACACACTCAGTGAGCAAGCGGTTCACAAAATTATCTACCCAAATTTGAAAGACAATAAAATATCAAATATTCTTCCAGAGCTTCTAAATGCTTATTACTCTGCTATTGTCTCTTTTGCTTAATTTGAGATTTAACCAAAACAACATGTGTTGCTTTTTTTCTCCCCATCAGAACAGCTTTTGTCAGGTTTCTTTTTTCTTTTCTTTCTACCTTTTTTTTTCATGTCTTTTCTTTTCTCTCCAGTTGCTTGTCCTTGTGTGGCATACAGCAGTTTCAGTGTCCAGTAGTGTCCCCGCACTGTTTTTCCCCAGAAACACCCGTCTGGACACTAAATTGCCGTCTAGCGGGCATAAACACGTGGATGTCATGGCTGCAGCTGTTCAGCTTTAGTTTTCCTTCTTCATACTTTTTTTTTGAAATTTCCACAGAATCTCTGTAAAATCTTTCCCTTTAGTCACAATCGGTCCACCCCTCCTGGACAGAGACATAATGAATTGCCATGGACATTGAATTAATGTTATAATTAAAGTGGTAGCAGAGTTCCTTTATCTCCTTTCTCAGTCGTGGTATTACAAATACATTTTTCTGCTGCTTTCCATGACCTCCATGCTTTGAGAAATTCCTAACATGACTGAGTCTGACCTCAGCAGCAGCTGTTTTTTTTCTTGAGCTGTTCTGCTAGTGACCGGGGTCTCACTGGGAACTGTTACTGTGACGGATGCCAAGTGCCGAACTGCGGGCAGGCTTTGACCTTTGCCAGCTTTGGGTACACAAGCTGCCAACTAATGGACAGCAAGTGTACCGACACAAACTCAACTTAAAAAAAAAACGACAACAAAGCGGCTGCTGGCAGTTAGCTCGGAAAACTAAAAGCTAGCCGATGCTTAATTATTTCATTTGCTGAACCCTTGCTCTTGCTAAGTTGCAGTTAAGACCGTTACATTTTGTTGTTCTTTTGAGTGATTCTTCATGTTACAATAAATCATTTTACTTTCTTTTGTACATCAGCTGCTCTTAGACCAGATAGCCTGAGCAGACAGACATGATGTGAGTTGTCTAAAGTGAGTCCTTTCACCTGCTGTGTGTGGTGATGGTGGAGTGCTGCTTGTGGGCTCCCCTTGTAGTGGGAACAAAGATGGCTGTCCCATGACCACTTTCCCTTTTCTGTCTTATGTCATCGTTTGCCATCTCCTTCCTTTTCTTTAGTTCAGCACATCCAACCTATTAGTTGCTAGAAAACCTTTAAGTGTCGTAGCTTGCCCGTCTGTGGCTTCATACATGTGGACATCCACTTTTTGCCCGGTGTGTTGTGATGGTGATTACTGTCTGTTTCTTAATGTTGTTTGGGATCTTTTTCACATTTGTGGCAGAACTAAGCGCACAAACCCCTTCCTGTTTGTTCTTAAAGCAGCTTTTTAAAAGGGAAAGTGAAAATGTATATGTGAGAAAGTAAAATGATTTCTCGACGCAAGTGATGCATGCCTGCGTATGCTGAGGATTGTGCCTAACTAACAGGTTTACGGCATGGCTTTATTTGACCTCCATGTGAAACTGCATCCTAAACAGCATTAATGCTCTGTTTTATTCCCCCTGCTGTTATTGGTGTTTGACTAATGTAAAATCCCCTCTATTTGCCTTTCCTTCCAGGGCACTCACTGAACAATGCGGTGAGGGACACAAGTGCAATGGATACTCTACCGCTAAATGGTAACTTTAATAATAGCTACTCGCTCCGTAATGGGGACTTTGGCGACAGTGTGCAGGTAGTAGACTGCGGCCTGAGTCTGGACGATGCTGCCTTTGAGAAAATGATAATCTCAGAGCTAGTACACAACAACCTGCGTGCCTGTAATAAAAGCCACCAACAGCAACAGCAGCAGCACCACAGTTTACATCATCCACCCCACCACCAGCAGCCACCGCAGTACCACCATCACCACCACACGGAGCGGGCTCCGCCCAAGGTGACGGTGGTAGGTGGAAGCAGCAGCGAAGATGACGCTATTGTGGCCGACGCTTCGTCTCTGGTCCACGTGGGTGACACGGTGGGCCTCGAGCTGCACCAGGAGCTGGAGGCACCTCTCATCCCCCAGCGGACTCACTCGCTTCTGTATGCACCCCAGAAGAAGGTGAGGACCGATGGGGGAGTCGATACGTTTGTCAGCGAGCTGACACCCACCAATCCCGATGATAGTCTGCAGTCCCCAAACAGGGACTCCCTGTACACTAGTATGCCTAATCTGAAAGACTCTCCGTACCCCGAGAGCAGCCCTGATGTTGTGGAGGACCTGTCCCCCTCCAAAAGGAGCGAGAATGAGGACGTTTACTACAAGAGTATGCCTAACTTGGGGGGTGGCCAGCAGCTCCAAGCCTATTACCAGATAGGCCGAGGGAGCAGTGATGGTTACATTATTCCCATTACTAAAGAGGACAGCATCCCTGAAGGCGACGTACGAGAAGGACAGATGCAGTTAGTGACAAGCCTTTAAATGTATTTAAATCATCCCCAGACCGTTCCCAGCCTTCCTGCAGCCCTGAACTCTTGGAGGACATTATAAAAGGGAAGGGAGGCATTTTTCTTTGTTTTTTTTAATGGGGTTTTTTTGTTTGTTTGTTTGGGGTTTGTTTGCTTTTTTGACGAGAGCTTAAAAGCCCCGCCATTTACACTTAGCCATTTGCAAACCTACATCTCCATTGCCATCTTCTTTTCATGCCACCCTTCCTAACTTCCCTGCAGACCAATAGACTTGGAGCACAGCTATGGCAGTGCAGAGTTTTAATGAGACTGTACATAAAATGCAGAGTTAAATTTCAATTTTAAGAGACAAGCCAACTATGTATTTAAATGTGCTGCTGCTGTTGATTAATTGAGAAAATTTTAAGGTACGAAAATTTAAAAAAAAATGTAAAAAAAAAGGAAAAAAAAAAAAAGGAAAAAAAGAGAGAGCGAGAAAGAATCAATACTGGCTACATCCAATCAGCAACCTCCCAGTCAAAAGGCTGTACATACACTCCCCAACAACCTAGCTGAAGCCTGTTTTTTTCTTTTTTGTTATTTTTTTTTTAAATATTGTATACAGAACAGTACCCCTGGACCAGGACATGGACATGTTTGCAAAATGTTCCTGATCAAACTGTTAGAAAAGGAATATAAGGTCCTGATCGGTCTCCATCACCATCAAGTTTGGATTGTATAACCACTAGCAATCAAGCCCCTGGCCTTATATTTTCTCAACTGTAACTTGAACTGTTGTCAAGGAAAAATGGCTAAAATATATATTTTGTTGTATTGCTAGTGTAAAATAAAAAAATTCAATGGGAAACCATAAATATGAAGAAACCTTATAATTGCAAAATCTAACGTTTGAGAGACTATTGTGTAGAAGTTGCACATATGTTATACAGTGTGTTTATGGTTCCAACACTTCATTCATGGTAGTGCGTTTGAACGTTAAGGCTTATAAAAAGAGAGATCGAGTCAACTAATTACAAAGATGCATTATCACCTTTTCCATTTGTGAACAGTGTTTTTTTCTTCCATCGATATCGCCCATGTTTAAATATGTTTATTTGACTTTGCCATTTACTTTGGTAGAATGGGAATGCAAAAACCCCAGTTAAGGTGACTTATGCATTGCACAGTTTTTTGTGTAATTCTGGCAGATATAGATCTTTTTAAGTAACGGCAGAGTGGTGGGCAAGCGCAAATGAAACGAGCGACTTTGAACAATAAAGTTCCTATCATAAATGTAGTTCTTCCGCTTGGGTTTGGATATTTTATTTATTAAAATCTTTCCAAAAAAAAAAAAGAATAAATAAATGGGAAATGTGTGAATATTTTCCAGCACTGGTATACATGCTGTACTGTAGCTCATGTTTTTTATGTAAACATGTTACCAAGGGGCTCTTCACTTAAGACTGATGTAAAGTTCAACACTTGTTTAACAAATAAAATAAATGTGAGATTTTTTGTCAAATGCCAGTTGCTTTTTAATGGTTTGTGGTTTTGGTACTATTTGAGAAAAAAGCTTTTATTATTTTGCTATGGACAAAATACACTTTTGACTCAGGTTACAAGTTAAGTCCCGAGCACCTTGACAGGTAAATTAGTGAATTTATTTTCTAGAGCGTTTATTTGCTTTCTTTTCCTGCTATTTCTTTGCTAACTGCAGAGTTTAGAGAGCGCGTATGTGTTATAGAGAAGCCAAATCTTTCCATGTGATTCAAAGATGAGAAACTCAGGTAGGAAAACTGCATTGTAAATGTTCCTCTGTGTGGTTGTGACACTAATAAAGGCTAAAAAAAAACAAACACAAAAAACCCGACACTGGTTCAAAGCATTGTCCACTAAGTATATTTTTAAATGAGCACTAGACTGAGCACCATTAAAGGGTCTGGCAGTACAGAAGTCTTGTAGTAAGATTTTGGCTTAAAATGCCGTGTGGGAGTGGAAATGTGTCCACAGACCTAACAAGGGGTCAATGTAACACTTGGCTCCGGCTGTAGAAATATATTATACATAATGTGTCCAGCTATGACACATATTTGCTCTAATTAATGTCTGCTTCTGCTGGAGCCCACAGTCAGTTCTTGGGTGGTTTATGCCTCAGGTAGTGCTAATTTCTGAAGCATTTTAATATAACACCAGTTGAGGCAGAGTGACAGCTCTCAGCAGGGTTGCTGGAAATTGCACTGTTTACCATTTGGCATTGAAGGAAATGACTCAGAACTTAGCAAAAATGCACTTTATGTCAGTGCACATAAGGCTGTGTGGGCTGTGTGTTGTTTTGACTTTTTCAACAATTACGTGACATTTTGTGCAATTATCTGAGGCTTCAAATTGTCATAGAAGAATTATGTTCCTTTTTTTGTGATCTCTTGTACAGACCCCTTGAATGTCAGTTTGGAATCAAGTGTTGTGGTGATTGTTGACTGTTGAAATGGCAGGCATAATGACATGCATAATAATGAGAAAAAAAGCATATTGATTTCCTGCATTGTAAAACATGCAGCGCCATTTTATCTGTTTAACATCCCTTAACGTTTGATAGCGTACACGTAATTTGAAAGCATAAAATTAGTCTTAAGAATGACAAATATAAATATTATAATGAATTGATAGTATTTTTTGACAGCGGAATGACAAAATATGTCCTGTAAAAGTCAAAAGTAATGCTAAACTGACAATGCATATTAAAAAGAAGTGGCTAACCCACACTTACAGAGGGAAAAAATGCGTTTTTGAGTGCAGAACAATGTGTTAAACCTCAAAACTACCACCACAGTTAACACTGAAAGCAATGCTCCATTGTCAGATCTGCAGGTTTGTCTTTGCTCATTGTTTTTGTCAGGATAAATCTCACTCAGAAGCACCATTCACCCGATTTATCTGTTTACCTGAAACAAAAAAAAACTCTCCAGTGCAAGATTATGTACAAATTGTAAAATAAAGTTCATTTTAACAGCAGAAGCTCACGTTTCAGTGGTGTCAGTAGTCAGGTCTTCATAAAATACAGGCAAACAAATATTTGCCAACCCTTTCCTCACCCCTCTCTCTAACTGCGGTTTGTTTATCCCGACACGGTGACCTTCGACGTGGATAAACTTGGTGTGTAAGCAGGTTTATTTTCATTATTGAGGACAGGGAAATATGATCTCACACTGACTGTTTGTCTCTGTTAGAGAATGTGGACTATACAGCCTCTAGCTTTGCGTGTGGCCTTCTCACCATTCAAGATCTTCTCTAATTCCCTGCCTTTTGCTGAGGGAGAGACTCGCCCTTTGTCAAACATTGATTCAGAAGTAGGCCAGGAGCCGAGGGGCTGAGAGCTTGGTTCCTCCCACGGAGGAACAAGCCAGCCTCTGGAAACAGAAGCAGAGAATACTGTCAGCAGAATCAGAGTGAAACTATTTAAGACGAATGGGTTATTGACTGAAAGAAGCATGTGAGTCACATCTGACCAAACATAGCTGTGACTGTCTGATTGTCAAGTCTGAGATCATTTTCAGGATCTAAGGATTTCTGTAGGATATGATGAAATTGCATGAAAGACATTTTGCTGTCGATGAAAAGATTTAATGTGCGTTTCCAGAGTGCACCGAACGTCTCCAGCATCATTTTCCGTCTCCAGGAAACGTGAAACAATGAATCTTTTGCAGAAAGCAGATTTAAGAGAGACATTTAAAAAGCTATTTGTTTAACTAATCCTCTGTTTAAGATCGACTGAGATGTTATAATCATTTTTAAAATAAATTCACACCAATTCTTTTACTTTAATCAAGTGCTTAAATGCATTTTATGAGCCATCCATCCATTTTCTTCAGTAAATTCAGGGTAGTTGTCGGGTTGAAGCTCGTCACTGCTGTCACGGGGCAAGCTGTGGGCTGGCTCGCAGAGTACGAGTATTTCCAATCTGTGCTCTGTGGTGTGTATGTGGGTGTGTTTTATTGCAGATCTCTGTTTTTCTTTTAATTAATTTTTTTAGTATATAGAGAGCCTGTTTATGTCCCATGTTTTTATCAGAGGCACAGGTCACCAGTCTATCACAGGGCTGAGACAGAGAGGCAGACAACCATTCACAATCATACCTACGAACCAATTTAGAATCACAAATTCACCTAACATGCATGTCTTTGCACCAGGAGGAAGCCAGAGTACCGGGAAAGAATCCCAGCAGGCTTGGGCAGAACATGTAATTTCCACACATCAAAGGCAGCCGGAGGATTCAAACTCAGGACCTTGTTGCTGTGACACTGTTAACCACTGCACCACCGGTGATCAAGCCAGTCAATTTGGTATTTCTTTCAAAAACAGAGCACAGTGTGACTGTTCTTGCAAGTAGTATGCATTCATGTATTTGTTGAAAGTTTGTTTAAGAAGTTCATTTTCAAACCCTCTGGTTATTTCTCTGAGGTTATCAATAGCTGCTGCAATAGCTTCTGCAGCAGTCACTCCTGTGAACGGAAAACACTGCCAATTATAGATGCCATCAGCGTGAATGAAGGCGATTGTGTACAAGCAAAGGAAAACCTCTGAAACCACAAACAGTAACTGGCAGCACAAAAGTAACTTCCCATACTCTTGAAGTCAAAGGGGACCCTTTAACTGCTTACTCTTTTCTTCCCCCAGCCTCCTTTGTCCTGTCCCCAACTTCAAATGTGCAGATTTGCGGCCCATGGGCGACTCAGATCCGGTCCCGTTGAGGTGAAAAATCCAATTAACCTGCAGCTCCAGCTGCCTTCGTTATAATCCCCTCCCATAATTATGAAATTACTAGATGCAGGATTTCAAATGAAAAAAGGATGAGAGCGACTGGCTCAGGAAAAAAAAGATGAAATAAGCCATTCCCTGCCAGTATACAGAGTTCCCATTTACCTCAAGGAGGAACAGCTATTTCCTATGACTGAATTTGAAGGTGAAGCCCACAAAGTCCTTGTAATCAGAATAAGACAAATCCTAAGCACAAACATGAGGACAGTAAGGATCGCGAACTAGTCGTTGAGATTAATGGATAGACTGGCCAGACAATTATGCATTTAGACATCAATGTCTAGCTTATTGAAATATATCAAAACCGTGCCAGTGTGAGCGCTTTGGAGTCTCCAGTGGTGTAAATGTGTACTTCTGAAGGGCTTTAAGTCTTAAAACATCCCTCAGCTTCCTTCTGACTTGCCTGGCGTCTCCTGACGAAACAACTAAACAACAGACTGCAGTGAGGTGCGATACATGGCGATTAACTTATTTGTATGAAGTTTCTTGATTGCATTTAAACTGTGAAAAAAAATTAAAGCGGTTTCATAAATGTTCTTGCGATCTCATTAAATGGTAAATGGCCTGTATTTGTATAGCGCTTTTCTAGTCCCTAAGGACCCCAAAGCGCTTTACACAACCTGTCATCCACCCATTCACACACTGGTGATGGCAGCTACGTTGTAGCCACAGCCACCCTGGGGCGCACTGACAGAGGCGAGGCTGCCGGACACTGGCGCCACCGGGCCCTCTGACCACCACCAGTAGGCAACGGGTGAAGCGTCTCACCCAAGGACACAACGACCGAGACTGTCCAAGCCGGGGCTCGAACCGGCAACCTTCCGATTACAAGGCGAACCCCCAACTCTTGAGCCACGATCATTAAAAGTCATTGTAGATGCTGTTCCAGCCTTTCACAAACAGAGAGCAAAATAAACCATTCATCCCCAGACTTTTGAATTTGTCAAAGATCTGCTGTCTTTCCTCACTCTTAGTGCAGGTCCTTCCATCTCAATACGCCTGCCTCCAGGTCTGCGAACATTAAAAACTGTGAGCCTCGCAAAGCAACCGTGTTGGATTAGTGCGCCCTTAACATTGACATAAACAATCGAAAGGAGTTCAAATAAAATTGTCATATTATAAACATGCAATGATGGAACCAGTGTACTGTTAACCAGAAATAAGAGAAAACACACAAGTAATTAAAGTGAAGCAGAAAAACTGAAGGCAATTAGCTGATAACACACCTACGAAGAAAAAGGAAATAAAATATAATATTTGTACTGGCAGGTGTAGCAGTACCAGTACTGTATCATTTCATCTGGACTGTTTCTGACTAATATATGCAGTGCATCACACACTGCACATGTCCAGTTCCCACAGAGTTTAATAAATTGTATAATACAATTTTCTTATGTAATTACATGAGTTATCACATAGTTTTTAGTAATCAGGAATGATGCATTCTTTAAATCTTGTGTTCAGGTCCTTCACAACAGAGAGACTCCGTCCTATCAGTAAATCTAATATTCGTCTGATAAACTCATTGGCACTTGCCGGAGGGAAGCCTCAAGCAATAACTACAGGATCTCCTGCTGTGTACAAGCTTCTGCAGGCCAATACAGATAACTCCCACTCACAAGACACCTACTGTATGCCGTGTCTCATGTAAAATAATCCATTATAGTGCTGTATTCACACAGCAGTAACATCTTTATTCATCATTTG